AACTGTTGACCCTATTGACTCCTATTGGGTCGGCCTCATCGCACTAGGCCTGGTTGGTGGGGGGTTTCTTCCAAGCAGAACCCAAACCCTCTGCCTGGTCAGATCCTCAGGCGGCCACTGCTTTATCATATTCCATCGCCAAGGTCTGCAAGGCTTCCTGCCACTCCCCCGGGAGGTCGGACATATCCAGATTTGGGTTCTTTGGTCGCAAGGTGTAGATGGACCCGATCGCCCAGTCGACGGCCTTTTCCTCGATCTCCTTCGACTGGCTTCGCATTTCTTCAGTCAAGGAAGCAACCTTTCCCTGACTTTCCTAGAGCTCAGCCTCAAGAGCTAGCCTTCTCTTTTCGGAGGCCTCCATTTCTTGTTCTGCTCGCTGAGCCCGCATTAAGGTCGTCTGGAGCTCCTGGTCCTTCTCTCCGACCTCTTTGGAGAGCCTAGCGGTTGTCCTCTGAAGCTCTTTTACTTCCTTCGCACGTCACTCAAGCTCCATCTTTTGGAAGTCCACTGTACGCATAGTGGCCGTCTTTTGGTTCAAGTATCTGGTTGCTGCCTCAGCGGACAGCGCTCTTTCTGCTTCGACGTCCTCTAGGCTCTGTTTGATCTTCACGACTCCTCTTTCAGATCATTTTCCCCCTTCGCGGCTCCCAGTCAAGCCTTCTCCAAGGACATTCTCATGGCGAGCAAAGCCTGCAAACAAGAAATGAGTTAGAATGAAAATGGTAGACAAACTCTTCAAGAACAGTGCGTAGATGCTGAACCGACGGGTCATCAGGTCAACATCGCCAGTATCGACGAACTCATCGTATGAATCGGATAGTCCACACTCAAGTAGAGAGTAGACTACCGGCTACAGGTATTCAGGCTAGTTCCCCAGCGCGTCCAGCACTGATGTGTCCTTCACCTTGTCGGCAGCAACCGTCTCATCCGCGGGTTCCTTGCCCAACCTCCTTCCGGCGTCCTGCTGCGACCTCAGGGGTTGATCACCTTCAAATTCGGTCTCTGACTCATTGACCTGAATCTGCTTCCTCTTCTTCAACCGCTGAGCCATTATCTTTTGCCTCGGGAGAGCAAGCGATGGCCAAGCGACCTGTTCTGTCCTAGTCGTTTCTTCCTCAAGACAAGGCTGGGAAGACGCGACAGTTCGCACCAGTTGTGCCGCTATGGGGCGAGCAGCTTCGGCCGCCCTGGCCCTCCTCGATCGAGGCATGGTCGCTGCATGCAAGTACGTTAGTAACTAAACAAAAATTATTCTACGACCAGAAAGGAATCAGTCGGCCCAACTTACACTCTGGGGACTCTAAAGACGCATTATTGCTGAAAAAACCGTACTTCCACAAGTTCGCGGTCGTCACGAGCTTCTTCGCGTCCCGACTTTCTTCGGGGAGAACCCCAAAAGACATGATCCTGTCCAGGTCGGTGAGCAGGTTCAAGCTGGTCGACTTGTTAACTGCAAAAGAATGCAGGTCGTTAGAAAAAGAAATGCACAGTAAATGAATCTAGCGAAGAGGAACCTACTTGGATCCTGAAAGCGACAGTAGCCATCGTAACAGAAGAAGAAAAACTTCGTCTCGTAGGCTCCCGCATTGCTGGGATAGCTATGTATCCCTCCGACAATGGTAGGTCGCCGGGACAAGTAATAGGAGTCATTTTCTTTACTCATTTTGAGGAAATACGCGCAGCCGAGCTCCACCACTGTTAGCTCGCCCAAGCCGCTCTCGCGGCACGCGATGTACATCGTAAAGGCGATGACATACGCATTTGGCGTTAACTGCATTGGTACGATCCCGAAGTGATCCAAGACCAACCTAATAAAAGGGTGAAAAGGAATCATCCCCCCACCCTTGAAGATCTCTTCGAAGATCGCAGCTAAGCCATCAGAAGGATGCCGAGACGACCGGGTGGAGTCGAGGAACACCTCCGCGCGGACATTGAACTGTCTCTTTACCCTCTCGAACTCCTCTCGAGTGAGAACCGAGAAGACCTCAAGGGATGCGTCCGCGGGAACATCCCGCGAAGACGAGCCCCTCCTTCCTCGGATCTAGACGCTGAGGGTTCCATTCCACAGTCTGCAACAGTGACAGACAGAAGGTCATTTTAGCCATCGTACGTTACCCCGTACGACGGCATGGAACAAATTCCCTAAACCTTAACAGTGACTCAAGCCGCCATTCACGGCTCGAACCCGACTCCAGCGTCACGTCTCTGATGAAACATCAGAAGACCCAACGCCATTGCACTGCCATGAAAGCTTAAAAAAAAAAAAAAAAAAAAAAAAAAAAAACCCTTACCTTTTGGGGCACGTGACCGTGGACGGTTCTTGCTTCGGGTATCGGAGAGATGCAAATCGGAAAAGAAAAGCTTTCGGTTGGCAAAGATTTTTCGCTCGAGGCAAAAGAGATTCTAGTGGCATCATCTGAAAAATTTGGGCTTTTATATGGACTATGAACCGGCGTTTACCACCCCTCGGAATCAAAACGACGCTTAGGCGGCAACTATTTCTCACTGTTGATCGCAGACACGTGTCGCTGATCAATGGGGGGGAGAGAGTTACAACTAAGGGCGGTCAAACCCACGACCCTTCCGTTGAGAAACTCGAACGACGCCTTTCTCTCTCTCTGCATTAATTGCGCCCCACGCCGCATTTAATGCTGTGATAAGAGTTGTCGTTTCGAGCGTGTCAAGCAATTAATGCTTTGTCAAAACAATAACGCGTTAGCACACAATGCATTTAATGTGCCTGGCAGACGCTTAACATGCGCAGAGCGCCTGTCAACGCAGAAACTGCTTCATTAAATCTCCATCCCTAAGGTACGGTAAGGAACACCTGATGAAGTCAGGTCGCTTGGGCGATGGCTGTCAGGTCGCTTAGGCAAGGGTCGTCAGGTCGCTTGAGCGATGGCTGTCAGGTCGCTTGGGCGAGGGCCGTTAGGTCGCTTGAGCGATGGCTGTTAGGTCGTTTTGACGAGGTTCATGCGAGGTCATGTTGGCAAAAGGCCCTATCCCGAGCTTTTTTCATTCAGGTCGGAATTGTCAGAACCTCCAGAAAACCTCTAATCACGACATAGCTTAGTTTCAAAGGTTCGATCCTCAAACCTTAAAAACTAGGAGACTTCTGTTTTGCCTGGGAAATCAAGGGCTGACGTGGGAAATCACGTGATAGAGTGTGACTTGCTCCTGTCAGAATGGTAAGCACGCGCCAGACCTGCCAGAGTTGTGGAGATCCCACGTGTCTATTCCCTGCTCTAAATCGCGTGAAATCAGTTTGGAAGGTGGGCAATGTGATATAAAGCCGAATTTTGTCCTGACATTCACACCAACCCATGGATTTAATGATGATTACTTGCACTCATCTCACTATAAAAAGGAGAAGACCCCTTCATTGAGGGGATTCGGCCATTTTACACTCTGAATTAGCTATCCCTCTCTCTCTTGTATGTTTGCATTTACTTTTCACTAGTCATTTGTAAGTCAGTCCGCTGTTACGACTTGACCCACAATATTAATACAACTATCAGTGGACGTAGGACTTGCTATCTGAGCATCCGAACCACTTTAAAAAACTCTCACTACTACATTTACTACATACTTTATCCATACTCATGTGTGTCTCTTGGCCAACCAACGTTACGCACGTGTCAATTAGTTGGTGTCAAAATCACGCATCAACAATTATAAACTATCTTTATGTAGTAATGTCACATCAATTCTCATAATAAGTTTGTATGCGTAATATTTTTATTTTTATCTAAGTTAATTTTTCGCATAAAGATTTGACAGACACTCAAGAATTAAAGAAAGTTGGATATGAAGAACGCATGATTTATCATTCTACTAAGCAGATGTAGCTAGCTAGGTACATTTTACATTTATTAAAGAAGAAAATAGAAAAGACTTCCAATTTAATGGGATCATGTGGTAGGTACAAACCCTAGTTGCCTGCCCAAAAAGGGGTACATTAATGTGAATTATGGTGTGATTGAAATTTGAAAACCCTAAAGTAAAAAGAAAAAGAAATTGAACGTTGGAAATAGTACCAAAGATCACAAGTGAAGAGAATTCATTATAAAAATTGAAAATTTAAATGAGAATTTAGGTTGAAGTGCGTGTGCATGCACGTGCAAACATGTGTGTGACTGTGAATATATGTGGAAGGAGCCGCACGTGCCCACATGTGTACGTGATTTTCTTGAAAAGGACAGCAGTAAAATGTGATGGCATGTGGATTCATAAAAACCTTGTCAACTTCTGTTACCATTCCTCCCCTTCCCCCAAGAAATTTCAACACTCCCTACATATCTCACCTTCCTCTTTAATTACTCTCTTGACATTTCACACTTATCGGATCTCTAATCCTCCAAATTAAAAAAAAAAAAATATATATTTACTTATAAGAGAATTTAATCACGACACTCAATTGTGTGGTGATAAGACCATACAATAAAAAATATGATACATAGTGACATATAGGTTAATTTTATATCACTTATTAATAACTTTTTTTTTTAATGACCGAAGATGTCCAGATTAACAGTTTACGCATATCTTAATTTTTTGGGATCTTAAAATTATCGATCGAGTAAGAACTCTAGTGATTATCTTTATTTTGATGACCGAGGGTGTTCAAACTAACAGTTTACGTTCATCTTAACTAATCTCCCCAAACCCTAAAATAATTGACCAAGTAAAAACTTTAGTGACTACCCTATATATTAGCAGTGAAGAAAAGACTTGAACTCAAAACTTTTTGAATAATACATCCAAGAGTCCTTATCGAACTAATCGACCATCTAGAGATAGTTGTCTAAAAACTATCACTATAGTGGATCCCTATAAAAACTAATTATGTTATGAGACGGTCTCACCGTGTCAGTGCTTTAATCTTAATAGCAAATATTGTGTAAACATCCCACATGCTAAATAAAAGAAGAAGATACAGAGAAAGGGAAAAGATACAGTACATAAATAACCAGTACTAGATTTGTCTACAGCATAACATCTTGGCCTTTTTAGCTGATAAATAGAGAGGACCACACCCCAACTAAAAACAATCAAACGAAAGCAATAAAATGTCATCCAATAAAGAAGAAGCAGGGGAGAGAGAGATAGAATTACTGCAGGAAAGAGGTATGTGTCCATATACTGAGGAAGGGAAAAATGGTCGTGTACCCGGTTTTGTTAAGAGGGTACACTGTGCCTCGCTGTCTCGCATGTGAAGAAGTTGTGGCTTTCTCTTCTCTCTCTTACATGCACCAACTATAATCCCCAAACCCCAACTGGCAATTTTTCTCCATTCTTAATTTCCTCTCTTCCTCCTTTCACTCACCACAAAGTTTTATTTACTCTTTCTCATTACAAAAAATATTACCAAAATGAACGTTTTGGCTTCAGAATGCACCAGTGGCTGTGAGTCTGGGTGGACTCTCTACTTAGAGCAATCTAATTTTGCTTCACATAGGAATACTAATAAGTTTGTTGATGGTAAGGCTGGTTTTTCTGAACAAGATTTTCAACGTTGTGATGATGATGAAGAGGAAAGTTTATCTATGGTTTCTGATGCGTCTTCTGGACCTCCAACTTTCCATGAAGATGATGTGTGTTTCAATGATGTTGATAGATACCACCAGCAACACCCTCCTTCTTCCAAGGCTACAACTCCACGAGTGGCCAATGGTAGTGGGAAAATAAGGCTGAAAAAGAAAGAAAAAAGAAGCCGCGAAAAACAAGAACTTCTGCCTTCTTTTCTTGACGACACTGCTAGTTCTCCAGTCATCAACTTCTCCTCCAAGGTAATACTTCACATTAATTTATAGCCTGTTTTAGAAAATGTGAGACCCTAAAGTTTTGCTTTTTACTTGTGTTGTTCACGAGTTCTTAATCATTTATTGCAGAATAATTTTGGTGCTGTAAACAACAATCAGGCATCAATGGAGAGTGTCTTAGATTATTCTCAAGGGTACTCTGCAACTGACTTTCAGGTATACTTTTACAGCTAGTTTAATTTGTTCTAATATTTGGTTGTTTGTTTGCAAAGTGTGCATGTCAATAACCTTTGAGTTAATTTCTTGCAGGGGAGATCTGCATTTCAAGACCCTTTTGCTTTCTTGCAATCTCCTCACTCTGGAAACCATGTTCAAAATAACCAGTTGAGTAAATCTTTTAATAGTCTGACAATGCATCAAATTCAAAGTTTGAATATTTAAGGTACTATATTAAATGATGATCATCTCATTGAGAGTTTCAATATTTGAGTTTACAGGTGGTTATAAAGGGTAATTAAGAGGAATGATGGAGATGAGATAAGGATGATTTCCATCAGTTGCTGCTCTTCCTGCTGCATGCTATTGCAGAAATGTTGGTGTTGAAGTTGCACTAAAAGAGATGGTTTAGAGAGTTAGTTGTCAAATTAAAAACTCAAAAGCAAATGGATGTCATCAAATTAAGAGGATCTTGTTGCTTCCTCTTTTTCTTTTTCAAGTTTTCCTAATTTTACCTGTCAATGCAGTGGGAAACAACCAACGATGATGAGAGCAAAAGTTAGAGATAAATTTCTTGTTTTCAAAATTAAATTATCTTGTCAATGAATAGTGGGTGCAAATGAGCTGAATTTTGTCCTTTAGGCCGCCTCTTGTGCAATTATGCACAGTCCTCCTTTTTTAATGGAGCCCCATGCCCTCTTTATTTCACCACCACTAGCTTTCTCTCCTACTCTTATCATAAATAACCAGTACAGCAGCCTCATTATAAAATCAAGCATATGAAAGCCATTTGCCTCTTAAAGCCAAGGAGCAAACAAATAATAAGCAACTGATGCATAATACAATTAATGTAATCATTCAGTAATGCACATTAACAAATGCATACAATTCTTTAACTCATAAATCTAATTATTTTATATACAAAAGAAGGGACACATGCAAACAATTGTTTGCTGGATTCTCAGTAGAATATGAGAAAGATCCTAATGCAGATCTGATAATTGATTAGGTGGGATTTGCGGAAATCTATTATGAAAGTGAAAAGTTTGATGAGTAGAAGTTATGTGTCCATCAGACAAAGATCCATCCACATTGATACTTCGTATTTTCTCATAATAAATCACAAAATGAAAAGAAAAATGAGACAAGGTAGATGATGGGAGATCAGAGTGAAGGAAATGACAAACTCAATGTTGGAATATTTCATATGCATCTCCATGACCCTTTTTTGAAGCCCTGAAGATCCTGCCTGTGATTTTCCTGACCCAATGGAACATGCTCCATTTAATTTAATGTGTACTCTTTATCTCATTTGTAAGGATCTTATTATTAAACCATTTTGTTTATTCAATTTTGCTCCCTCCAACCCTGTCTGCTTTGTAGCTGTCATTGAACTTGATGTCATGCACAATTATATGTCTTCCCTTCATTTCTTTATTGAAGTAACTGTTCCTAGTCATCTTCTCAATAACATTATATTATGGGAAAAAAGTTGGAAAAGATACAAGTTGGGAATTTAGGATGTCAAAGTTCTGAGCTATACCCACATGTTCTTTTTTTCATTTCTTTATATAATTCTCATGTAGTCAAAAAATTACAAATAAAGGAAAAGAAAAAGACAAACTAAACAAATATAAAAAAAATTGGTGCTTAGAATTTTCCTCACTGCACTCCATCAATTTGGATAAGGATCTAATTCAAGTATGGGATAAACATCTATGTTGTTCCAACCACCACCAAAACAAGAACCTTCATTTCTCTCCTGTAACTTACAGAGGGGAACGGAATGGCTTTCTTGTTTCTTATAATTTAACTCATTTCTATTCCTGTCTCCATTGTCCTTTTAGCTTCAACTTTGTTTCCATTTTCCATGACACCACTCACTATTCTCCTTGTCCTTTTATCATCTTCACATTCATTACCTCTTTCTCTATCAATTAATTTTCTTTCCGGATTGTTCTTCATTTTAAGTATAGCACGATGTGAAACTGACATGAATTCATCTACTTGTATATTTTTTTAATTTGCTTGAAGTCGGTACACCAACATGAAATATTCAAGTCCTAATATAGGACAGCAGCATATATAAAAGATGAAGGAATTGAATTGTTTAAACTGGTCAATTTTTTCAAAGAATCCAATAGGAATTGATCTTATCGTTTTACTAAAATAATCTTTCTTAATTTATACATGGATAACTTCAAAGAAACTAAGAAAAAAATATAGCTTAAAGCTAGCTACGTGATTGGATTCTGCACCAATTTTCCTCGTGATCAAAAGGAATTGATATTTTTTATTTTTGTGAGTTCATCAGCTCAAAGTAATATTCCCAACTAACTCAAAAATTTAGTAGATCAGTTAAACATATAATTACTGCATGAAGATTGTACTTTTAAATTGAATACCGACCAGGAAGTTATCTGAAATAGAATAAAAATAAAATTTATTATTTAAAAGATCGACATTCGTATCCCACCATAACAGGAGTTGTAGCCTCAAAAGTCATCTGCAAAATCAACATGATAATTTTCAAGGCTTCTTTTTTATTGTTGCAACTTATAACATAATTGCCACATGACACCTTCAAAGGGTTTTCAAATTCTTGCTCAAGCAATGGAAAAGTAATCCCTTATATGATATACAGCCATTATATATATATATATATATACACACGAATTTAACTAATATATTAAATATGTTTTGTATAGCGTAAACGACTTTTTCTCACCCAAATAATGATTTAATGACACTTTCATACCCATCGACTTTTAAATATCACTTTACTATCCAAATTTATATTCTGTTTCCGATTCCGATTCCAACATTGTTGTGACCTTACACTATCATCATTTTCTTCCCCGATCATCACTCATCAAAACGCCTCAAATCCTACTTCCGTCGACCTCGCCAATCATTGGCAATCAAGCGATAAGGGTTTGCACAACTGTCATTTCCAAGTCAAATTCCAATTAATCCCAACCACAAAAATACAATCTTCCATCACCAAAATACTCATCGGCCTCCATTCTTTAAAAGCCCCAATAGCTTGGATTGAGTTTGCTCTCTTTGGCGCCGGAGTATGAATTATTAAATTTGGATAATAAAGTAGTATTTTAAAAGTTTGTAGGTGAAAAAGTGTCAGTAAACCATTAAAAAAGTCCTTAACTCTTTTGTATATAGAAGTAAGAGAATTAAACCTTATTTTAAGTAGGCATCGTTCAGTAAAAAAGATTGCAGTGAGATTTCCTCAATTAATCAAGTCTCTCCGGTATTAACTTGTCTTTATCAAGTTATGCATTAATCTCTTTAAATTAAAATGCAGTTAGATATATAATATCAAACTTCAAAGAAAGTAGTACTTGTTAGGGCCAAAAATCGTCTTGGGCCTGACGAGGCTCAATAACGAAATAAACATGTCACGGCCCAAGGCCTCAACCCAATCTCGATTGGGCCTACGCTTAAAATCACCTTGCGACCTACCTATTCTATGAGTTGGGCTATCCTATAAGTTAAGCTAAACTGGGTTTCAACCCATTAGCCTGCAACAGTCTATAAATAGGAAATCAGAATCCCATTCTATTTACTCTTCTACTAAGATTTCAAATCTTACTCAAACTATTAAACTTGATCTGATAAGGTCAAGAAATCATATCTCTTTCATGATAGGGATTATCTCTCAAATAAACTTAGTGTCCTACTAAGATTTCACTCTATTTAACTATTAAACTTGATTTGATAAGGTCAAAAAATCATATCTCTTTCATGATAGGTTATCTCCCAAATAGGACTTAGTGTCCCACTATGATTCCAACTCTTATTAAACTATTAAACTTGATCTGATAAGGTCAGAATCATATTTCTTTCTTGATAGGATATCTCCCCAAAAAGAGGACTCAATGTCCTACTAGGATTCTACCCCTTGGGTTCACTATAAAAATGAGGGCAATCTCCCACAGTCGGAGGACACTACTCAAAACCATCTATTTGCTCCTAAGTTCTTGCTCCTAAAAACCCGACGCCTCCGCCGTAGTCCTAGCCTCCGACAAGACCCCTAGTAATTCTTCTTCTCCTTAATTCATATTAAATCTCTTTCAGCCTTGCTGACTTGAGCGTCGGAGTGCCTATGGTAAACACCACCCCGGTGTTTTCCGGAAGCTTCACGCTTGCCCTTTCATGTGTGCAGGTCTAGCGGATTGTCAGTGGCCTCAATCTCACGGGATCAGACCCTATTTTCATGACGGTAGATTTTTTGCATCTATAGTTTGGCGCCCACCGTGGGCCCTGACAATCATTTGTCAACGACAACTTGCAACATGAGAGGAGACACATAACTCCCTTTGACTGGCATTGTTAACCCGAAAATCTCATCACGATAAGAAAATTTTTGTTAATTTTCTTCATTTTAAATCCATTGAAAGTATCTAGGAATAATTCACATGTCATATATGTTCTATTAAGCATGAAATGTGTTGAAGCATCAAAACACATCTTCCGTGTTCATAATTTGTTTATGCATTGTTGGAATATTGCTCACTTTTCATGTGTTTAATTTCGTTTTGGAAGGTATTTCGTGTCCTACAAACTCTCACATCTCTTAGCATGTTATCGATGTTTTAAAAAATAAAAATTCAATAGAAAGACAACAATGTGATCCATCTCATTTAGGTCCATGAAGTAAGATATACTTATTTTTACTTCTACGCGTTTTGCAATATCGAACATGGAAAAAGCAATTGCCCTACTATTTACCGTTTACTTTGATCTGCAAAATATATGGCCAACATTTTGGGATTGATAATGAAGTACCTTTATCTTAGTTATAGATATATTAATACTCAAGACCTATACTTTTGGTTCAGAGTTGACCCTTTCTTCTCGTAGATCAAGTGTTTTAACACCGTTTTGTGCAGCTCTGTCTCTGTCTCTGTCTCTCTCTCTCTCTGTAGTGCATATGTGTGCCTATCTTGACACTTGTGTGTGTATCAACCATGTTATTTGAACATTTTTGTCTTTGTATTAATTTGTGCTAATGATGAATGAGACTTATTTACTGTAATTCCACCTTGATCAAGTATTTGAAGACTGGGTACAACCTACTACTATTGCACAAACCAAACGTCCACATTGATTATGTTAATTTCAGGATGGCAGTGGCGTGTGTAATAATTTGGTTCTTTCTCCTACCAATTACATTATCGATGTCACTGGGAACACCAGTCCATTTATCTTATTGTCAATACTCCACATTCTTATTAAATCAACAGGTCCTGCCATCTTCGCAAGGCCAAAAAAATTGCCCACTTGTATTGACCAAGAATAAAGAAACACAGGGCAGCCACCAGACTTTTGCTGACCTCCTACTCCAAACAACCAGCAAAAAAATAAAGTTTACCTTAGAAAGCCGGCTGGAAAACTTCGTCAGAAAACACAAGAGAGGATGAATTTTTTTCGCAAAATACGAAATCCAAAAGAAGATGGATTAGAAGAGTAAGGAATTGCTTATTGCTCCATAAATGTTTGACATTTCAAATGACATGTGTCAACTTCATGTTGCATCTTGAAAAAGAAAATCACTTTTTTTTGTCTATTGGATATGGAGTTTTTTTATTGAGACATGACCACCATGTGGAGACACGTGTAATGGAAGTAAACCATTTTAGTGTGCTCCATGTGAATCCATCTCAAGTAGAGGAGCAGAGCCGAGTCAATCGCACTAATACATCGACCATTGCCATTTGCATCTACATTAATTAAAATGCACAATTTAATCAGCTCGCTCTTTTGCCTTTTCTGTTCCAATCGGTCATTTGGCACAGCTCAATCTAACCACTTCTGGCACATTTAGCGTGCACCACCTTTTTCCTCCCCAGTACTTTTACTTAAAACTTCATTTTGCTTAGTTTTTTGCCAATCACATGGTAGAAACATTCACCCCCATTTGTCTTTTTCTTTCTCTATTTGGCTTATTATTTCATTTGGTTTATTACACATGAACACCACGCATATTAGCTCTCCATTTGGCTCTTTGCTTAAAACATCATGCCATGCAGTCACTGCTCCAGCTTCAATCAAAGGTTTCAACTACAGTCGGTCATGCAACTTGACCGCAAGCTCCATACAAGCTCTACTTGGCATACACTTCGAATTGGCCTAACCCGATTCATAGATTTACACCTTCGGATCGACCATGCTCGATCCACGATTCACACATTCAGATCGACCCTACTCGATCCACAGATTTACACTTCGATTGACCTTGCTCAATCCACGGATCTACACCTTCGGGATCAACCCTGCTTGATCCACGGATTTACACCTTCGGATCGACCCTGCTCGATCCATGGATTTACACCTTCGGATTGACCCTGCTCAATCCACGGATCTACACCTTCAGATCACGCCTGCTCGATCCACGGATTTACACCTTCTACAGATTTACACCTTTGAATTGACCCTGCTCAATCCACGGATCTACACCTTCGAATCGGCCTTGACTGTCCACAATTTACACCTTCGGATCGCCCTACTCGATCTACGGATTTACACCTTCGAATCGACCCTGCTGCTCGTCCACATTTACACCTTTGATCGGCCCTGCCCGGTCCTAAAACTACACATTCAGTCCGCAGACTGTTTGAAGGGTTCTTACACCTCAAATCGACAGTATCATCACTCAATCCACACAATGATCCATCCGCCTAACGGCTGCTATCACTAATCCGCTCAGTTTGCACTCATTCGATTTAATCTCTCTCTAAGCTAATACTCTTTACCTTAGGAGAGTGGGGGCTACTGTAGGGCCAAAAATCGTCTTGGGCTTGACGAGGGCCCAATAACAATAAACATTCACAGCTCAAGGCCTCAACCCAATCCCGATTGGCCTACGCTAAAATCACCTTGCGACCTACCTATTCTTGAGTTGGGCTATCCTATAAGTTAACTAAACTGGGTTTCAGCCCATTAGCCTGCACAGTCTATAAATAGGAAATCAGAATCCCATTCTATTTCCTCTTCTACTAAGATTTCAAATCTTACTCAAACTATTAAACTTGATCTGATAAGGTCAAGAAATCATATCTCTTTCATGATAGGGATTATCTCCCAAATAGGACTTAGTGTCCTACTAGATTCCAACTCTTAATTAAACTATTAAACTTAATCTGATAAGGTCAAGAAATCATATCTCTTTCATGATAGGGATTATCTCCAAAATAAGACTTAGTGTCCTACTAAGATTCCAACCTCTGTAAACTATTAAACTTAATCTGATAAGGTCAAGAAATCATATTTTCTTTCTTGATAGGGATTATCTCCCAAAAAGAGGACTCAATGTCCTACTAGGATTCTAACCCCTTGGTTCACTATAAAATGGGGCAATCTCCCACAGTCGGAGGACACTACTCAAAACCATCTATTTGCTCCTAAGTTCTTACTTCCAAAACCCGACGCCTACGCCGTAGTCCTAGCCTCCGACAAGACTCCTATAATCTTCTTTTCCTTAATTCTTATTAAATCTCTTTAAGCCTTGCTGACTTGAGCGTCGGAGTGCCTATGGCAAACACCACCCCGGTGTTTTCCGGAAGCTTCACGCTTGCTCCTTTCATGTGTGCAGGTCTAGCGTTGTCAGTGCGCCTCAATCTCACGGGACAACCCTATTTTCATGACGGTAGATTATTTGCATCTACAGTACTGATCAAAGCATTAATTTCCCACCCGCAGTCACTAATTTGTCTCTACTTCTCATTTGTTACAAATTTGGTGACTTCACCTGTGAAAATGGCAACGTGTCTCTTAAGAATGAGTCAAATAAATGCAATAGAGGTCAGAATAACAATATGATTCGGAGGACATGATTTTTGTTCATTAATTTAAATTCAATCTACTTAAATTGCTTAATTAATCTTAAATTACTGATTTGATATCATATATATATATTTTAGAATCCTGTAAATCCTCTCTCTTTCATCTTTTTTTTTTCATATTGATATACACACATTTTCATTCATCTTGACACGTATACGAAGACAGAGAGAGGAGAAATAATAAATAGCTCGAAACCAATGTGAGATGGCTACATGTGTTCAAAACAAACATGCACTATTTTTGAGGAGCCTATCTGCACCATTTAGGCCGAGCCATTACGACAATCGTGCCAGTATAATTTTGGGAGCCAGGTGCGAGCCCATCTAGGCCCATTCCCAGCCTAAAATATGAGCACATTAGCCCATATCAATTACTGCCACAAATGTGTTTGTGCTTTGTGGAGCCAATGTACCCCATTTTGTTGCATAGCCCATCTAGCCCCATTCAGCATCACTAAAAATATGAGCACATTGGCCCATATCAATTACTGCCACAAATATGTTTGTGCTTTTGTGGAGCCATGTGAGCCCATTTGGTTGGCATAGCCTTCATCGTTTATTGTCTACCCCAATTGCCAAGTTCTTACCAATTAACATTTTAGGTTGCACATTTCATCCTTCAAATTCTCTTCTTTTTGTTTTATGATCCTTTTTTTTTTAAATTAAATGTTGGGAAAAAAATTTGTTAATATAAAAGGTAATAGATAAGGGAAACCAAGAACCCTACTTCTCAAACAACCTTTATTTCAGGGATAATTTACTAAAAGAGTTTCATGACACGTAACGACCTTTTAGGACATCCACGTTGAAAAAAATAGGTCATGTCAAATGATAATTGAAGCTAGCATATTAGCATAGACAATGAAGTAAGGTTATCGATCAATCAAGGACAAGAGTTGGTATGACAAATCTAAGGAACGTAAGAAATCACAAATGCCCTAATCTCTTACACGTGTCAAATCTCCAAAGAGTTATACAATTATAAATGGAGAAAGTTGTAGTTCCAAGCAAGACACAAACACTCACAACCTAGGACTTCGCACTGAAAATATTCCTCTTATTCTTGAGATTAAGTGCTTGTTTAATCCTCCTTGGTTATACTATGGACTGACTTGGAGCGCCGGAGAAGGCACGGTAGCACCACCTTTACTGCCTCTTCCCAATTCCGTAACCTGTTGCAGGCCATTCTGTGCAATTGGGCTTTCAGCAGAAGTTCTCCCGTGCAAGCCCAAATCCTTTTTCTTTGGATTTGCAAGTGCGAGCTCAATTGATGTTGATGAAGGCCCAAACCAAAAACCGACTTTAACAACCTTACAAATTTTTTATCACCATTACTAAAACTTCTGGCTTTGACAAAAATAAGATAAAGTTAATTGGTTTGAAAATTTTAACATCATTTCTGGGAAATTTTTGCACCCAAAGAGTAAGCTTCTTTTTTCTTTTTAGAGCACAGTCCTCTATTTTCTTGTATGTATAATTTGTCGCCCACGCAAATAAACCCTAACTTCGATTAGTATGGTTAAGAAAAACTCATTACCTCACTTAAAGAAAGAATAATTTATGTAATTTTTATTCAAACGTCTTGTGTTCAAGTTTCACAAAGTAAGTGATCACTTACCATATTTGTGATTTATTTGACTCATTGGATTTGTAGGGTGTTTAATAAAGTTCGAAAACTAATTGAGTTGCGCACAAACTTATCCGAACAGCTCGATCATAAAAAAATAAAAAAAAATTTAGGTAATTTTAATTTTGACTGTATAAAGAGGTTAAATAAGTAATTATATCCTTGACAATTCCACCCTACATATTTGGATAAAAGAAACTTAGAAATGAGATTAATTTACTCAAGCAATTCATGCATTTGAACTTAATAATTGCATACAATTATAACAATTTTGCAATAACAACTAGTTAAAGACAATCTTATTTGTTAGTCTGAAGCCAATCAAGAATACCCTTCTCTGATTCAGAGAGTTGCTGGTCCTCCTTGGCTTTCAGAGATCCTTCTATAAATTCAAAGTAATCTTTGTAATTCCGCTTGTAATAGCTATCCAGTCTCTGCCAATAGACATAATTTGATATCAGAATAAATAATAAAATGCTTTATCGGTCTATAAGTTTATATATATATATATAGAGCTTCAATTGACTTCAAGCAAGCTAAAGGTTTTACCTCCTTGTCATTCTTTGCCTTGTTTTCCTCTGATTTCTTTAAATATTCTGATAAGATTAACAAATTTTCAGACACACATGCATATAAACTCTTAAAAAAGAAATTAACATGGACAACAAAGAGATTGAACAAGAAAAGAAAACAAAAAAGTACTTTTAAGAAGCTCAGTGGTGGAGTCGTTAACTTGAGGAGCGGCAGCTACAGTGGATAGAAGTAGCCCTCTTCTTCCTATATCAATATCAGTGATTGCGGCGGCTTTTGCCTTTGGTTTTGTTCTTGAAGGTTTTGATTCTCTTCTACTGGGAACTGCTTGGACATTTAAAGAAGCATATTTGTTGACAGTCACAGTTAAAGCCATCAAAATGCTTTGGCCTATTGAACTCATCAGTAACCATTACACTTCAAGCTCTCTCTGGAGTTGAAGTTGGGTTGGTTATGGTTGTGGAATTGGAATGGCCAGAGCCACCAGTTTTTAGACCTGTAGATGATGATATATGATATTTTTTTGTAGATTTATTTTCTTTTTCTCTCGCTTTATCCTCTGCATGGTAAGTCAGTCGTCGTAAATTACTTAACAGCCCTTCCTACTATCAGTATTTATAAAATATAGTTTATAAATTACTTAAATCATTTTAATTTATAAAATAAACTTGAAATCTGAAAATGATAAGAGAGAGGTTGAAAATCCAAATTTAATGCATTTGTTTGTGTGTAACATGTGAACGAACTAGAGAACAATGTAACACCGCATTCTGAAAAGCAGTTAATAATTCTACAAATTGTCAGTGTTATTCTAAGTAGATAGACTAAATTATTTGTCCCAATTTTTTGCATTACTAAATCAAGTACAATGTATTTTAATTCTTTCTTGAGTTATTTTCAACCTGATAAATGTAATGGAAATATGATAAACCCCCAAGTTTCTTCGGATTCTTTCATGAGAAATAATAAATTTTGTTTTCGGTATTTTATTTCATTTTCCCTATATGGATATAGATAAATATGATTCATTGGAATTTCAGTTTTCCTATAATAATAAATATTAGATGCTCTTATAGGAAATTTCAGATTGGAAACTTTCCATGATCTTTGAGCATATATGTTTAATTTTACAAAATGTATGCACTATTAAAATCTGGAAAAGCAGACATCAAATGTTCCTGCATTCAGAGCATATAATATAGATTTACAATATTCACAAACACAGCATGAAGCTTCAAGTTTTGGAAAGTTGCATTCATGTAAACAATTCCAACCATTGGCTTCTTTAACAATACAGAATCACCCTTCTTTCACTCCAGCAGACGCTTGTGCTTGCACCAGGCAATAGCAACTACATATAGGAATATACTCCCAGTTGCGCCGCCACCAACAGTCCACAGAAACTCTTGCATGCCTGATTTGTTTTCGTCAAACAGCTCGATGGTGATATTCATTCCAAATATACCAGCCACAACAACAAACGCACTCACCACAAGGGTTGCAGTTGTTAGCATGACCCCCATTTGCAAAAGATGATTCTGTTTGTCATCCAGCATTATGTTAATGTAGTCTTCTGTGTCATCTACGTACTCCCTCAGCTTCCAAGAAACAAAAACACAATGATAAGAAAATATGTGAAAAGCATCTGGGGAAAACTAGCGAATGGGTTGATTTCCAAATTGACAGTGAGTTTGTATATATAAGCAAAGAAAAACAACTTTAAATCTTTATTTTTTTTCCATGCATCTCCCAATGAGTATGAACCTTTCCATAACCATCATATCAAAATTCAAACTCAAAAATCATCACCCCCTTTCTTAAAATGGAAAAGCGGAAAACCCTTTTAGAGCTAGTGGAAAGTTTCTACCCCAACAATGAGCAAACTACTATACTGTGTTTAAAACAAAATGGGAAAGTTTCTCTAAGCATGAGGGAAAAACTATATTGTGTGTAAAAACTAATTTTTAAAGTCTACATTGCATAAAGCACCAGCCCTAATCTTGGCCAACAATCATATAAATAAGAATAATCTCAATGTTTCTAAGAAATCACCGGATTGCTATCATTTAAAACCAGCTACACCATACAAAGTGGAACATGTCATGTCCAAAGGAGTACTTGTCAGCCCTTTTTCAAATAATAAGCATCATCAACATGCTTGCCCTAAAAAGAGTTTCATAATCTTGCCACTGCACTTTGGAACAATGTTAATCTGTGACACATCTGGCTATCCTGATAAACCTACTTATAAGTTTTGTTCCACAACCAAAGTGACTGCTCTCTTACTCAAAACACTCCCCACTGCATGCCTGACCCTGAGCTGTTCCATCTAGTGGAATCCCTCAACACAATATGAGCGTAATCTTCACTCAACCACCCCAAAGTTTATATTCTAAACAAAAGAGTTTCGTCGATGTGTCTCAGCAACCACAACAAGAATTAGGTAATAACTAATAGTAAGCCTCAAAAATAAATGTCCAAAGCCATATTCACTGCCTCACTGGTAAAAACGCTTGGCTATGTCTAGAAGGATTTATGGTAAGAGTAGCAAAAATGTCAGATTTCTAATCTCAATCTACGGATAAAATCTGAACTAATAAATGCAATTAAGACTTCAACAATGATCACCACTCCGTTATACCATCCTATTCTTGTAATATATACTCATAATGCAAAGATACTTAAATGCTAGAGATTTTAAACTATGATAAATAAGTTTAGGCCATGCGGCTGCCGATTGTGAGCCTCCTACTCATAGAATAGCAGTACCAGAGCAAGGAGCAAGGTGGGCACCCCTTGCACTTACACATTAAAATTCCCATGAAGAGAAGACTAATTAACTCCTCATAGGGTTCATGTACTATACAGTTGGAATGAGTTGCCTTAATCAATATCAACATCAGACCTCTGAAGATTGATGCATGAGGAGTAATCCTTGTCGAGACAGTTTATAAACCACATCCACATAAATGTTTAAAGGAAAAAGACATGCCTTGTAACACTTTAATACCCGTTTACATAAATGTTCAACAGTTCATACTGACATTAATATGTGATTGGCTAATCCTGATTTATTATCGTTCACCACTTCTTTATTTGTGACGCAAATGACTGTTTAGGGGAGGCAAATTAAGGAGAACTGCTGAACTGACTTTTCGAGGAAAAAAGTTTTATATTTTTTAACAGCACAAGGCTTTAATGTGTTTACTTTTGGTGTTGTGGTCGCCCATATATTTCCAAACAAGACATCAAGAGTTTATCACATCTATTTTAGTATTTGAGTCTTTTATTTGTTATTTTGGAGTTGTGTTTCATGAAATAGGATCAAGCAGTGAAATTGAGTTTCATACCGTAGACAGCTTGTTTAGTGTACCATCAATCTGCACAAAGTATGCCTCCAGGAGCATTTCAAGCTCCTCAACATCAAGTTGCTTGCTTATAGCACTGTGAGTGGTACTAGTACGAGTCCCGTGGCTTTCCCTGCCAAGTACATTATGTGCAGTAAACAACTCATGGGTGTTCTCTGCGTTAAGATCAACTTCATAACTAGTGGATCCCCCAGCAGCATTCACTGATAATTCAGCAGGAGTCCTGGAACAGTAGGAGAAATTGTAGGAGAAAAGCAAAAATAAAAATAAGAAATAGGAAGGCCAGACAACAAAGTGATAGAAATTGGTACCTGTCATCCATATTTGATTGAAGAACTTCATCATCCATGTCATCTCTCTCATTCATAGAAGAAGTGGAGGAGTTTTCAAGTTGTTGAACCAACTTCTCAGTCAGATACATCTCAGCCATGTCTTCATCATCATCTAGCAAGTGTTCTAATTCATCCCTCACCTGGAGATGAACACATGTCCATCATAGTCAAAAAATTACCATAGGAAAGAAAACTATCAATAACTTGAGTGCATGGTTTGATTAGGTGATGAGACATGCGCTCTTAAATTGTATCCACAAGGTTACTAAGTTGTACCAGCCTATGCAACACAGAGTAACAGAAAACCATTTACAATCCTAATATTTGAAATCACTCAACCTTCTGAACACGTCCAGTTATTGCAACCAAGCGGCTCTTAATTTGACGGACACGTTCCAAATTGAGAGTACTGATCTTTGAAGTCAGCTTATCTAAAGCCGGGTGAGCTTCTAGTTCCAATGTTTTTGCCTTATTTAGAAACAAGAACAAGTAAAATTACAAGAACAAAGAAAATAAATGTAAGATGCTAGAGCAGTCAAGAAAAATCTAAGAAAGTAGGAAATAAGGTTAATTACTTCATTTTCTAAGCAACTGCAAGCAGCCTCAAGGCAGGCTTCTAGGGCAACAAACTCAAATGGAAGAACCTTTGATCCATCCCGGTTCTCAAGACCTTGTTTCCCATCTGCCTTAACTTCCTCGTGTTGATCCTCATACTGTGGAAAACCTCCAGCAAAATTTGGAGGACTGGAATCTCTTGATTGTGGTTCTTCCAAATCATATAAATTTCTCCATTTTGAATCATCTCCAGTGCCCTCCTATACAAAAGATACCATAATAACAATAACAAAGTATATAAATAACAATCCAAAAAACTTCACACAAACAACAAATTAATATAAATCAACATGAATATAAAATTGAAGTTGAAGGCCTTGCAGCCCATGTAATTAATTGAGCATTCGCATTTGACTCAAACAAATAACAAATGCACTTTATGCCAGTAAAAAAAAAATCACAATTCATTATCCAGGAATTTTACTGACCTCCCTTTCAACTTTCAAGAATAGATTTATAACAATTTTCATATTTCAAGAGAGTTCTGATAAAATTGAACACATACTCCGTCCAAAGTACCTAAATATGCTGTTTTAACTTCACAAAAAAGTGAAACAATTATAATGATAAAAGGAAAAAAAATCAAAAACAGAAATAAAAACCTGAGCTTTAGTGGCCTGATAGTGGCACAAAATCCTCCTCTGTAACTCCTCAACAAAGGGAACAACAAAAGGGTCTCTAGAATTGAGCAACAGAACTTCCTGGGCAGTAATAATAGCCTTGATGTGCTCCAAATTAATAACAATAGCCCGTTCACGGCCCAACACAGTTGAAGGGTACGACAGTTGCGGATCCAGGATCCGAAGGTCTCGTGCCGGCAGCCCCGTGCGCCGCATGATGGCGTGCTTTCCGGCTTCCACTACCTGGGCCTGCCCACTCGAATCAAGAAGTAGCCAGGGACGGACTCCCGCTGCCTTCTTACGGAGACCAGCGGCGGTGGAGAGGGCCATGTTGGCGGAGACGGTTGGTGGCCGGGCTGACTCCGGGTCATCATCGGGTTGGGTATGACCCGGTTTTGAGTGAGGAGGGTGGTGGTTTCTCATTGTACGGAATCGCGTTGCTTTAGTCCGTTGGTTGATCTCTCAACCATTTATTAAGGAAGTCTGTGAAAAATGCCTTTATAAACGTTTGAACTTTGAAATGTTAGCTTACAATTGGTGAAGTCGTATGGATAGTAAGACCAATTTTTAGAAAGACAAAATCTATTATAAATCGAATAATTATGAACACACATTGTATTTGTTAGAAAAAATTAACGAGAAACATTTGTGAGTGTAATGGTTGTTTATTAAGACAAAGATGATTAGTTGCACCATCATGTTTTCTGTGCTGTCTGAAATTTTATAATTAGATATTTACAATTTTTTTTTTTAGTAATATTACACATACATCATTTTCATACAACATTATGTGACAAGATATGAGTGGCTAATTTAAAGTTAAAATTAAACTTTCATCCAATTACATCTTACCACATAATGTTGTATGAGAAATATTGTATAGAAATGATGTATGTATAGTATTATTCATTTCTTTTTCAGATTTTTTTTCAATTTTGTCTAATTTAGTATGTCTATCTCTAAGCTAAAAGTTAATATCATTTATTAAGATATAAATTAATAAAGTAGATTATGTTGGAGTGTAGTAGTTAAATTTTTTGATAAAATAAATTAGAAAATAAAGTAAATGTTTTTTGCTTTTGAGATAAAAACATGTTAATTTGGTTGTTTTCGGGTTGGTTGGCTTAAGTTTTTGATTAAATACAGGTGGATTTTGACATTCCTCAAAACCATTTTCTAGAATTTGTCAAATACATATCCAACATCTCATCATATTTGATCAATCCACAAAACAAGCACTAATTTTCTCTTTCTTACAACCTTCCTAGCTAGTTAAGGTAGGCTTAAAAATTTTCACTTCGGGTTTGGCCAAAGTAAAGTTTCACCCAGTGTTCTAAAACCCGGATTGGACTGATCGATCCAACTGGTTTGGTTTTGGGCCCAACTTTCCAAAAGCAACATAAACCCGGTTTTACGCATTGAATCGCTTTGGACTAGCGAAATAGTGACAAACCATTAGTCCAACCGAATCAGTGGATAAGCCGGTTCACTTTAAACAAAATCCCTAAAATCCCAATTCCATTTTTTGCTTCTAATTCTTCAAATAAAATCCCAATTTGATCATTGCTTAAGCTGTCTTACTCTTTAGGGTTGCTCTTCTTTTCAGTTTTTCAGGTGAATAATAAATCTTTTGCTTCAAATGTTAAGAAGAAGTTGTAGAAATTGAATAAATAGAATGATGTTTTTTTGGAAATAGGCGAAAATGGAGTAGAGAAAGTGCTTAGGTGGCGTCTAGAGGCTTGAGAAAAGTAGGTGGGATCCAAAAACTATCGGAAAAATGATTGGAAAAAGACTAGGGTGGATTGCAATTGCAACGACTAGGGTTTCCTGGAGTTTTGATTGCAAGGGCGTGTTTGATAAATTTCAAACCTGTTAGGACTGATGTGTAATTTCTTAGGGGTATGTTTGTTAAGTTTTAAACTTGTTGGATATGCTGACTCATCGGTTAGACCGATCGGTCCAACTAGTCGGACTGTCGAACCAACCAACCCAAGAACTCACCCCTTGACTGGGTCAAGGGGCGGTTTGGGTTTTAGAACATTGGTTTCACCCATCGATTCTAACCAATGATACTTTATACCTTAACTTTTTTTATCATGACATAACTATGTTCTATTTTGATGGAGTCCAAGTTAATAAACAAGAAGTTCATTTCCTCAATAAAAGTAAACAACAACAACAACAACAATAATAATAATAATAATATTATTATTATTATTATTTGACATAACATTATTATTATGATAATAATAATAATAATGATATAATATCCAACATCTTATCATATTTGATCAATAACCATTTCCACAAAACAAGCACTAATTTTCTCTTTCTTACAACCTTTCTAGTTAAGGTAGGCCTAAAAAATTTCACTTCAAGTTTGGCCAAAGTAAAGTTTCACCCAGTGTTTTGAAGCCCGGACTAGACCGGTCGGTCCAATCGGTTCGATTGGGTTTTAGGCCCAACCTTCCAAAAGCAACATAAACCCGGTTTTACACAATGAATTGCTTTGGACTAGCGAAATAGCGACAGACCGTCGGTCCAATTGGATCAGTGGATAAACCGGTTCACTTTAAACAAAATCGTTAAAATCCCAATTCCATTTTCTGCTTCTAATTCTTCAAATAAAATCCCAATTCAATTGACATACTCACTGTTCAAGCTGTTTTGATCTTTAGGGGTGCTCTTCTTTTCAGTTTTTAGGTGAATAATAAATCTTTTGTTTCAAATGTTAAGGAGAAGTTGTAGAAATTGAATAAATAGAATGATGTTTTTTTTGGAAATAGGCGAAAATGGAGTAGAGAAAGTGCTTAGGCGGGGTTTTAGAAACAATCGGAAAAATGATTGGAAAAAGATTGGGATGGATTGCAATTGCAGTGGCTAGGGTTTCTTGGAGTTTTGATTGCAGACAGTGGCAAATCTAGGATTTTTATTGAGGGGGGGGCCTCCATAGCTTCATCATTGTTTGCTAAACAACTAGTAAAAACTTTAAAAAATCATTAAACCTTAAGCAAAGAAAATAATACAATATCAAAAACCTGAGAGAAAAGAATGTAATAACGCAATACTTTCCTACTTGAATAAATCTATGAGAAACAAAATTTTGAGTAAATATGTTAAGTAAATCTTGAGCAAAACCTTCTTTTAATTTTAATTTTTTTTTTTTTGGCTTCCAAAGATTATAATATTAATTTAATGACTTTGACCATACCTAACTTAAGTTAAAGTCAACCAAAACTTAAATCAAATTAATGTTGCGTTGACTTTTAATATGAATTAATAAAAAAAAAGGGAATTTTCCTGATATAAACATAGATAGTAACTCAAATTTCTTTAATTATTTTGAATAACAGAATGATGACGTTTGACATGTAGGAAAGTGGTGGGTGAAGGGTAAAGAATAATGTCTTTTAAAATATAGTTAAAGTTTTAATTTGGGAAAACAAGTTAATTCTTAGACACAAAACACAAAATAAACTCACAAGATCCACATCTTTTCCCCTCAAATTAGAATAAAAAACCTCCACACAAAAAAAAAAAAAAAAAAAAAAAATCAACCATAAAATAAACTAAATTGAAATGAGCAATATGAACGAAATAGAGACAACAACAGGAACAAAATATAATAGTAAAACAGAACAAACAGTAAACAAAGAAAAAATAATACGCGCGATTTACCCTGGTTCACCCAATGTGGGCTACGTCCAGCTGAGTCAATATTATTGCAATATGCCTCACCTCTCTCGTTTACAATGAATGAATTGTTCTCACACCCATAACAAGAGAAAAGTATGTTTATATACTAGGTTTAAGAGATTAAACCTAGTTTTACAAGGATTCTTATTCCTAAGCCCAACCCAAAAAGGAATTAATAACTTAAAAAAAATCCTACAGCGGTTATACATGGAAAAGCCCAAAACCGCCTACGGGCTCGGGGGCGCTGCCCCCGCGACCCCTGCCCGCTGACCGGGCAGCGGGACCCCGGAGTGCGTCTCCGTTACCCATTGATGCTAAAGTATTCGACAACTCCAACACAATACACATACCTAAAACTGATAAAACAGAAAACAAAGCTAATTGTGACACCTTGAGTTGTGAAAGCTTCAACAATTTCAATCTTTAAAAGTTTTAAGATCGAATAGCATAAGGAAGAGAAAAAGAGAATGAGAGAATAAATAATTTTGAGGATAAAATTATAAACCATAGGTGAAACCGTGAAGAAGAAGAGTGGAGAGACTAATAAACTTTTAATATAATATGGACTTGGAATATATATAGTAATAGCAAGTTTTTTGTGGGCCTAGATATATGTATAATAATTATCATTTTTTTTTTTTTTAAATCTGAGGATAAGCTTAGGTATTTATATTAATATCAATTTTTGTGGGTCTATATATTAATAATTTTTTTTTTTTTTTTTTTATTAATAATTTTTTTTTTTTTTTTTTAAAACTTGAGGGTAGGCCCTACCCTCAAAGGGGTTGGATCCGCCCCTGATTGTAGGGGCATGTTTGATAGATTTCAAACCAGTTGGGATTGATGTGTAATATCTTAGGGGTATGTCTGTTAAGTTTTAAACTTGCTGGATATGCTGACTCACCGGTTAGACCGATCGGTCCAACTAGTTGGACCAACCAACCTAGGAACTGGCCGCTTGACTGGGTAAATGGGCGGTTCGAGTTTTAGAACATTGGTTTGACCCATCGATTCTAACCAATGATACTTTATACCTTAACTTTTTTATCATGACATAACTATGTCCTATTTTGATGGAGTCCATGTTAATAAACAAGAAGTTCATTTCCTCAATAAAAGTAAACAAATATAATAATAATAATAAAAACTTTAAGGTCAACCATGCATATATGAGAAATTGAGCTAATTTGCAGGGGTTGTAGGAGATATCGAACGGAACATGCTATAAGTCTCTCTTTTTGAGTACTGGAAGACAGTAATTAAATGTCTGCAATCCTTTGTGGAAGATAGCCTTTCTATTAAGAACAAGATGTTATGGGATAACAGTGGCTGCCACAAATTCTAAAATACATAATCAAGTTACACAAATGTCTAGTTCTAAAAATTTAATCAAGTGAAGAGACAAACTCTTCGGAAGAAAAAAGTTGTAAGGCAAAACTTCTCAATGAAAGCAATTTTAGCGAACCTTCTTTGCAAGATTCAAGAAACTTTACAACATCCATCTTAGTCATGTGTTCCATTACAATCTTCAATCATATAAAGAGAAGCGGGACACAAAAATAAAAAGTAAATACAAAAAAGAAAATTAGAGAAAAAAGTGAGATTTACTCGAAAAGTTGCAATGAGATTGAGAAGGGAGTTGAAAATAGGCAAAGAAGCCAACTAGGTGTTAGTCGCCAATTTATTCAAAAATGAATTTAGGGAAAAAAATCTCATTTTGAAAATGG